GGCTGCGGGAAGGCAGAGCGAAAGAAACTGCTCTTGAAAAAGAGCTTGTTTCGAGCAAGGGAGCCGTCGGGATAGTGCCCGCGATAACGCTGCAAACTCGTAGCTGCACAAATTACTCAAAACTTTGGTCTTAAAGCTTGAAAAAGTAGCAAATCTGTTCTCCCGAAGTGGCAAGTGAGGGTTTTGTATTAGACAGAAATAGATCACTTTGAGCCTACAGCAAACCAAAGGCAATTCTCTTTGACAGCTTTTGTCTTCTCCAGTAATTGAAGAGAATAAACATATATACTTTTAGAGTGAGCCATATCACACTCGCGAGCTTCTCGTAGCATCAGGCATGTTCAGGGCTCTTTCATTAGCAATAAGACAGCTTTTCACTGATCCAGCTGAGATCTGCAATGTTATTCTGTATTTCGAGCAATTCTGTATTTCTGTCTTCCCCGACTCGCAACATGAACCATGTCAGAAAGAAGCAACTTGAGGCAAAATGGCAAGCTTAATACACTGAGCTTGTTTTGGGAAGGCTCCTAAGAGCGGATTTCATCCTGATGGGGCCATCGATTCTGCTGTACTTGTACAGAACTCAACACAAATACATCCACATGTGTATTGCAGCAGTATCAGAAAGACACAACTATTTTATGTGAAATTGCTGCAGGAGGATGTTACATTTAGTGTTAGTTCCATTCAAAGACCTGTTCACGTACCCCCAAGATGCTTTATATTTTTCAGCCTGTGATCACAGAAGCTCCTATTTGAAAGCTTGCAGTGTGGCTGGTGCCAGGAAGGCTTTACAGAACGAAGCAGTTGGGGTGCATGAAGATATGAATATTTGAGGAAGAAGATTGGTAAGGAGGGAGAGGAGCCCTCAGGACTACAGCAGCTGAGGGTAAACTGCAAGAGAAGGAACATCACCCTCTTAGCAAAGAGGAAAGCAGCCACCGGAGATAAGCGCAGGAGCAGGGACTGGGCTGCTTGGAAATCTAACCTGCATTTTGCCTCCAGAAGTTGTGAACTAAGCGCCAGGAAGTCACTCCTGATTTTTGGTGCTGTGGGCCATGTTTACCAGCTCCCAAACCTGTTGCTGACTCTGCTTGCGACTGATGGATGCGGGCATATCCATCACGCTGCCCTCTACGTGTGGAAATGTTTCTTTCTCACCAGAGGCTGTCCTGTCTCCAGCCTGCCTGTTGCTTCTTCTTTTCTCTCTTCAATTTATGTAACAGTATTGAGCCACTGTTCTCTCTCCATCTTTCTTGCCTTGCCTTTCCCTAATTTCCTTTCTTGCCCCCTTGCCGTTACAGAGCTTAACTTTACTGAAATAAGAAGAAACCGACTGCAAGAAGGATAATGTTGACCTGATACAAAACTGCAGTTTCTCTTTTCCCTCTTTCACTCTTTTCATCTTTACTAAATATTTTGTGGGATTCTCCTCAGATCTATTATTTTAAATTGACTTTTTCCCTTTCAGATTTCACTTGACACGCTCCCTGATCATTTTCCACCATTGTTTATCTTCCATTTTGTCCTCTCTCTGGTTCTCCCCAAGGATTTCTTTTTTTCCAATCTTCAGTTTTAATGATATTCAAATGGTATGGACTAAGAATTTCCCCGGCTGAATGTACACCCCAAATATTGAATCACACAGAAAAGGGCTCTCTGTGCATCCCTGCTGGCAGGTGGGGACAGGGCATACGTGGACCTCCGGGCTATCCCAGTGACAAGGGCCAGGGATGGGGCCATCAGCCGCCGGGCGCCTTCGGGCTGTGCCAAGGGCGGGCAGGGTGAGAGCGGGCAGCAACTCCAGCAGTTTTCATGCAAAAGGACTTTGTCCCTCCCCTTCCACAGCACCGCGTTCCAGCTCTGAGGGCTTCACCAGTTTCAGCAGCCGCAGTGCAGTGTGAAATGACAACTCACAGTTAAGCAGGCTGCAATACAAAAGGATATAAAGGTTAAACAGCTTCATTTCATTAAAACCTATTGGAGACCATTCCTGGCTTTAAAACTCCCTGCAGGACTGTGCCAATGCACGCAGGCACTTTCCACAAGCCTCCATTTGGACTGATCTCAACGGGGGGATTGCTATGATAAAGTCTGCATAGGGCAGAAAAAAAATCCCCTTCTTCCAACTAAATGCTGATTAAGAAAGATCTGGGGGCTCCCTGGAAATGCTGAAGCAATGAGGGTTTCTTACACCTAGGCAGCAAGAAGGAAGTTTATTCTTTGGAAGGAGCAATTTTGTGCCCTTACTACTGAAAGGTGACCGGGCACCAGTCAGCATCAGGCTGCAAATCTGGATGGGGAGCTAGATAACACACACATACAGAAAACACACCTATCAGAAGGATGAGAATTTGACAATGCAAGAATCCCAAACATCATATTTGACCTCTCAGGACTCAGGTTTGTTGTAAGGTCACTTCACTTCCTATTACAGCACCTTTCAAGGCACCCTAATCCTAGTCTTGTCTGTGCACAACAGTCCCCACCACTCCTACAGGCGGGTTTTGCTGTCGCTTGCCAGCTCAGCCCCTTCTTGACACGGACTCGGGCCAGGCCGAGGGCTGGTCTCTGCACGAGCACCTCCCTGCGCTCAGACACGACCAGTTGTGCTGGGCTTCCCCACGGAAGATGCGGCCGAACCCCTGGGGACCACGTGCTGCCCAGCCGGTGCGCAGGCTCCGCTGGGATTCACAGCACACGGGCACAGTGCACTGAGCACAGCCAGCTCGGCTGCATGTGGCAGCGCTGCGAGCGGGAGGCGACGGACAAGTCAGGAGGGGAAAACATGGAGTACTGGGGGCTCCCTTGGCCAGACCACTCCCATCACAGCTGCCACCTAGTGCGGGGGCTCAGGCCATACCCGAGGAATCGCTCTGAGACTCTTTATAGTAACAAGATGATTATGACCCTTGGCTCGAATCCGTTGATTCGAGTTATTCTCAGCTCTTCGTTTTGCCTCTATACAGTGACATGGGTGAGAGAAAACACATGGCGGGAAAAGGCTCTCACATGGCTAATAAGGGCATCAAACACTTAAAAAAAATGGCTTCCTGAATGAAAATGGTAAAGACCTGCCCAAAATATACTTGCTGGAAAGCCTGCTTTGATAAGGGCCTAGCAGCACGCCTAGGGGAAGCACTGTGTAGCCATCCGCCACCACGCGACCCACAGCACGTGCCACCTGAGCACCACTCCTGCGAGGGGTGGCCAGGGGCATTGCCTTAAGGGATATCACCTTAGTATGCAGGAATTGCTCAGGAGGATGCATCAAAACTTGGGGCCAGCATTTTATTTAGATAGATGAAGGGGCTCGTTTCCCCACGGGCACACAGCCTCCACAAGCGAACGTGCATGAAGAACTTGTCTGCATCACACCACAGACCCAAGGGGACACAGAGCTACACAGAACTGCATTAAGGGCTGGTCTCTAAAAATTCAGAGGAAAAACACAGCTGCCACTCAACAGCCACACAGCAGACACAAACCATGGTTATCGTCCTTGTTACCTGTAAGGTTATCCTGAGCATCTTTTATTGCATTTGTTTTTCTGATCAACATTTCTCTATTGGGGAAATGAATGCAAGAGTGCAGCCAAAGATGACGTGTGCAATTCATTTAATAATAGAGTAGAACAAGAAATTCACTCCTTCAAAACATGACTAATCAACAAGTTTCTTGAACCATGGAGAAACATGGGAACCAATGCATCAAAGTCTTCAAAAAGAACAAGTGTAAAAGTAGAACACATGAAATGTCAAAGATTGTTTTATTTAAAGGCTTGTTTTTGTAAACAAACAAAAAAAAATCAGAAACTAGTACTGTGTTCATAAAATAAAGTTTAGTTAAAACAAACACAGATACCAAACTTTCCCTGAGAAATAAGAATCAGCAACAATTATTGACAGGTCATTTTTTCCCATCAAAGTGCAGAGCTGCACAAGCACCTTCTCCCAATTTAAAAATCACACAGTAGGGCCAGTTTTTATTTACTCTGCTTGTCTTCTGGATACCCTCATTTTTCAATACAGTGAAGTCTGGAGTCAGCAGCCCTCAGCATGGAAGATGACCAGGACAGGTCGAGAAGGAGCCAGGAAAGGTTTAATCCCTGTGTTGGATGTGCATGTCAGGAACTGTGATTGCTTTTATCCCATTTTCTAAACTTACTTTTTTTTTCCAAACCGATTAACTACAGCAGCATTCTGGAATTGCACCTTGCCCCGCTGCACAAATGCACAAACAAATTTCATACCTGCCAACCACACTGCCCATCCGCTCAACGAGGAACTTGTTCTCTGAGCAGGAAGGGGAGACAGGTCAGAAAACTGGAGCCATTGCTAAGGTTGGATTAAATTTCATGGCCAGTGGCACTGGCGCAGGCTGCACGCGGCACAGCTTTGTGGTTCCATCACTCCTCAGCACACACAACTAAAGCGAGTTCAGTGCTTGGGAACTGGTGACCCACACTCGTGGGAAAAAAAATCCACTCTAGCTCAGCTCAGGAGGGTGCAATTCTTGTGGCACTCTCTGCTCATGCAGGAACCGTAAGAAGCTCTCAGGACCCAAATTCTCATGCGGTGGAAGACAGCTTCTTTCTTACCCTAACACCTTATCCATCCATCCATCCATCCATCCATCCATCCATCCCTTCCCAGTCTCTCTCTCTCTCCAGAACAGCAGCTTTGCTTGCCTTGCAAAACCGTACATCTGGGCTCTGTTGAGCTCCCTCTTTCACTTCATGCACCACCTGCAGCAGGTCAGGCAGCGCCTGCTTCTGTCAGGTGTCTGGGGCAGCCATAGCGCTCACTCGTGGCACGCTACCTAAAGTGAGTGAGCGCTCACTTGCAGCACGCTATGCAGACACCGATCAAATGGCTGGCACCTGCAAAGAGTCTTTCTGGGTAAGGTGGAGGGCAAGCTTTCACAGCAGAAAGGAGGCAACTTCAAGAAGGTAGAAAACAGGGCTGAAGGAGAAACAAGAAAAAATACACACATGGGATTACAGGAGAATCACTGTTGGAGACTTAAATATTTAAGAGTATCCAAAGGAGATTGGAAAAGCTTAAGAAATGACCCCTGCTTGCCCCAGACATAACTCAAATGGGAACCGCAGCACGTGGGGGTGCAAAGCACCTGAGGCAGCTGTAACTCACAGGGCACCTGCAGTGCCACTGGGAGCAGGGCTGCCACCAACGCGGCTGCGCTCGCCTCGGCCGGGAGCACCGTGGCCACGGGCTCGGGCTTGGAATCGCTTCAGCCGGCAGCACCACGGCCACGGGCTCGCGCTCATCTCGGCCGGCACACACTGCCATTCCTGCCACGGCTCCTGTGCACAGAGGCACGGGTCTCCGCTACCCGGCAGGATAAATCTCCTAATGAGAAACATGGAACAAGCTGAAGAAAATACACGATACTCCTATCTCTAAATCTTAAGGATTTTGATCCAGCAAGTTTTGCAGATATTCTCCCTAAGCATATTTTCCATCAACAGAGTAGCTTTCTGTTAGACTTCATCAAGTGTTTTACTCAAGAGGAGCCAAATTAAAAAAAAAGAATATCTTTACCATCTTTGTGAGGCAGCAGTCAAAAAGGTCAAAGGAATCAGCTGGCTGTAAAGTATGACATTTACTGTCCATAGACAGTAGAGTATTGGTCATGTTGCACAAGACAACAACGCAATGTGAGTCACAGCAAAGCTTAGCAATACTAATCTGAGTGATACAAGCCTTTGTTGCCATTATAGTATCTTCCAGTGAGAAGACACTTTTTTATTACTGTTTTTATTTTTACAGTGACAATTACCTAAAAATAAACTGCCAGTTACTTTTATTCTTAATAAGGATCAAGAAAATTCAGCGCTCCTCTCTCACCACCGGCCAGATCATGGGCTCAGGATGAGCTTGGTGACTCTGCTCCGAGGACAGCAGCTAACCCCCACTTGGGCCGCGCGGCGGCTGCTGAGCATCCTGCTGACTCCAGCGCTCCCTGTAGAGCGGAGCAAGTCCAAATTCCCAGGTGCTTAACGTTTTCAGTTAAAAAACAGTCATTTGCTTTAAAAGGGCCATGAGGATTAGTGACACAACTGATACACTCAGTGCAAGTCTGGCTGGACCGGAGGATTCCCACTGTGCCAGGTCTTCTCCTTGGCTCTATACAGCACCTGCCAGGCATGATGGTGTATAGATCTTGACTAATTCATCCCAAGCACAGTCCACCACCTACAAAGCAAACACAGATTGCTTAGAGCCCTTGAAAATGGAGTTTGGGGAAAAAAAAAAAAAAAAAAAAAAGAAGCAGAAGGAATTCTTGGATATGCAGAGGTTAATGTTGGTTGGCACTCCCATTTACAATGCTTCAAAATTATGTAGTAATGTGTCTTTTTTTAAATTGCTCCCTTAATTTCACTGAGGTGCACAGGAACTTCCATTTCTTATTGCCAGCCGTGGGAAAAGCAGGAAAAGGTGGGGTGAAGGAAGGACACAAAAGCCCATGTCCCATTACTTGTCTTGTCTTCACAGAGCCATGATGCTTTTTTTCTCAGGACCTGTTCACCTCCGTGGCATCTAGACACATCACAATAAAAGCAAACTTTCTTACACTCACAGTTAGAGGAATTTATTATAAGCATTTTCCTGAAGGAAAGATGAGGAAATGAGAAACCAAAGTTGATTAAGACGATGCAGCAAGTTTCTGGAAGAATTAAGGCTTAAATTTAGCGTTGCTCAGAGAACCCATGAGGTGGCTGCACTGCCTTTCGTTGAGATACACAGATGCCTGTTTGCCAGGCATGCACTGCTGCCGACAGAGGAAGGCACCTGAGTGTCGGTGGGGTTGGCCTCACGCACGGATCAGACTCCAGTAGCCCAGGAAGAAAGAGATGCCACTCGCTACAAGGGCATCTTACGAAAAGAGCAGCTGATTCCAGCATTACTGATTTTTGCCCAATTGGCACAAACTCTATTTTAGGTGCAGGTTCATACCTTAAATCACACAAAAAAAGAAAGCTATTCTGATTCTACAGCATAAAAAGATTTTAAGAAACAGTAAGATTCTGTCTACTCTACTACATAACAGTAGACTGCAAAATGCTTTAGATTCAATGATGCACTTAAGAATCTGTAACAAATAAAAAAGGGTTAACTGCACTGACAATTACTCAAATAAACAAGCTCTAACTTATATTTACAGAACACTGGGATACACAAAAGCTAAGGCAAAGGGAAGAGGAAAGAGAAGAGCTAAAGAGAAAAAGTTGATGAGTCCCACATATACATGACAACAATCTGGATGAATTCATCTTGGAACAAGCATCTTGCCAATGCCCCTTCCAGTTGGGATTGCACAAAAGCAGCAGCGCACAAGAAGCTACACAACAAGCAACCTCCTGCTTCAGAGTGCAATTCCTGTTCTCTTCTAGAGCCAGAATGAACAGCTGCATACTAAAAATTTGGAAATCCAACTTCAATATTTGATTTCAGCCTATAATTAGCCCATTTTGTGTTTACTATACTGCACTATTATTCATTTTTATTGCTTCCTTAGCTGGTTTTACTAAGTTATTTGAACTACTTGCCATATACCTCTAAATGGCCCCCAAATCTCTTGATGACATGCACTGTCTATTCATACAACATAACAGAGCACTGTTTGATGTAACAGCCTGCTGCACTGCAGCTCCCCCAAATCATTCAAGAACTAAAACACGAGTTCTCCAGTGCACTCTGTGTAGGAACCTGCAATCACAAAACACAAAGTATTTTATCCTCTTCATAGCTCTGCACTAGCATTTTTTTTTCTATAGGCAATACTTTCTACTTTCCTGCAGAAACAAGAAACACTGACAGTTGGAAAAAATCTCACGGGAATTCCCACCTGTTACCAATTTAATTAGCATCCTGAAGCAGGCTCTGAACAAATATAGTTATGGAACCATTTAATCTAGCAACGTTAAAACGAAATAGGGGTTATTAAAAGAGAGTTGGAAAAGATCACACAGAATAATTTGCCCAACTCATCAGCTTTATGACAGCACATGAAAGATGAAAATATAACCAGTTAACAGAAGGAAAATAGAGCGACACCAAGTAATACTCTCTCAAATTTTCCTGTGGCACAGGAAGGCTGTAACAGAAGACTGGTATCAGAAACTCGATGAAAATACATATGCAGAGAAGGGCGACTGGTATTTATGGGACAATGTACTACCACAGCAAGAACCAGCATTAGAACTGGAGCAGCTCTGTGCTGGGATGGACGCAGACAAAAGAGCACCCCAGGTAGCAAGTCATACCGAGGCCTTCTCCCAAACACCGCAGGGACTGTAAGGGGAAGGGGTCAACTGCAGGCTACGAGTGTGACAGCCGGCAACAACTTATATACAGTGGTGAGAAACCACTTTGGAGTACCTCATGGAGCACTACTGCCCAAAACACAAGTGACTGAAACAGAACCACAAAGTGGATGTCAGGCAGCTACTGCACAATCCAAAAAATAATCATCTTAGGAAGCTGGATGTCATAGTGTAACTTAAATAAACAGCTATCCCATATTCGACTTAAGTGTTTAACCTTGTCCTAGATTATAATGATGCTTTCCCCCAACTGATTTAATATCAATATCTGTTAATTTATCAAAGACATTGATAAATTCCATTGACTCACTAACTTATTTACTTCTCTGACAGGCCCTGTGCTTCCTATTCATCACAAGGATCTTGCTCTGCAATAGACTTAGACCTTTTGCAGCACCCGAGGGCAAGCCGTTCAGTCTAGGGCAATTACCTGGACGACATTCTGTCTCCACTGCTCACAAGGAGCAAGAAAATAAAACTTCCAAGTTAGTACCTATTTTTTCCCGATATCTGAAGCTGTAAAAAAGCCCACAGCCAAACAGTAATGAAATATATTCAAAAGAATAATTTAAAACGTCAAGTTTGGTAACTCCTCTACGAGGGTTTTAACCAGAAGAGTGTGCAGCCCACTTCAGCTGCAGTATATTCAGTCTTTTCAACTCAGAGTCTATCCAGGAGTTTCTTGGTGTCACTCAGCTCTGTTGCCTCAGCAACATTTCCAAACACCTTAGGATAGGACTTCCATTGATAAGGGTGAAATACTCATGGATGGCCATTACTCATGAAGAGCTGGTTGTGACTTATCCACCAGAAGTCTCATTTTAAATGTCTCAAAAGAACACACATTTAAGTGACAGTAAAAAACGCCATCTCCTTTTGCCCCTCCAACTCCAAAGGTGTTTGAATTGCATTAATGGTAACATTTGCAGGAGATGAAATCCAATCTTTCCAAGCAAAAATCCACCCTGAAAATATGAGAACGGACGTTGTACAGTTTTTTATCCTAAAGGATCACTAAGTGCATAACTTTTAGTACCATCCTGGGGAAGGACTACAAGGAGAGATGAAAAAGAAGTACAGACAGTGAAATACAGTCGATAGCAGTGCGACAGCTGCAACAGCTGGGTAGAAACTACCCGTTCCTTAGCAATTCTGTGCAAAAGATAAGAACAAGTAGGCAAACGATGGGTTGCTGATTTTCTGCACGTTTCCACAAGACATAACTCTGCTTTGACAAAAGACAGTTAACTCTTCTGGAATGGAGGAGGGGAGCACGATTAATTTAGGCAAAGAGCAAAATACACAGCAGAACAGTCCCACTGAAGAGACTGTCTGCATTTATATTTGGCTGCGCTGGTTAAGCCAACTTAACCAGCCCTCTCCTGCCCTGTTTGCTGTGCTGGCACAGCTAGTGGGGTGTTTGCACGGGCCTAAAAGGTGATCAAAAATGACTCAGTGAAGCTGCAAGAATTTTTAACTAGATTTCAGTTACCTTCAGGGAATACAGCTCAAGAGTGGACAGTCTGGCTACGGCCTGCTTCTACCTAATGAAAAATAATGGCTTTTAAAACTTCCGTGATCCTGATGCCCTAGGAAGGCTCACAATGTCCACAGGACAGTCCTCCTCCTGGGATAGCAGCAGGCTTTGAGCGACACTACAAAGCAGGCAGCTCTGCTCGATTCACCCGCCTCGGGCCCGGTGCGAGGCCGGGCTGTGGCGCAGAGAGGGCCTCCCCCTGCAGCTGTGGGAGAAGCAAGGGGAGCCAGTTATGCTGGGCCACAAGGAGCACAAGGCTTGTGGCAGGGCTACTATGTTAGCATCACCGTTCCCACCCTATTTGGTATCATGTGGCAATAACAGCCACCGCTGTCTCCGAACGCAGCACAGGGGAATTCAGGCCATGCCCTTTCTCACGTTGATACATTACAGAGTTCCCAGCACTTGAAAGAAATAAGAAAAATCAGTTCTGTGCAAAATAATCTATTTTGTTGGAATATCTATGTGAGGAAGCACAGCCATACAAAGGGCTAGAGGAAACATGAAGTTTGCCTGCCAAATCACTTGATACAAATGGGGTCCATCCCGTATGACCAGGCAAGTCTCCTGTTCATTGCCTCCCCTCAGTGGGGCTGCACCAGAAGCAGCTTGCTTGCAGGTACTTATGCTCTGTCTATGGATTCTGTTCAAACTTCAACCGATCCCATGCAAATGTCTTGTAAACCCTAAATTGGTTAATTAACCTGGGTATCTAATTTGAACTCCTTTCCAAGAGCAGAGATTGCTTTTTCTTGACCTATGAAAGATATTTCAAAAGTGCTTAGGTTCATTTGGCACAGCCCCCCAAAATATCACCTAGATAGAAAACCATAAAAATATCGTTAAGAATGAAAGCAAAATAAGATGACCAGAACAGTACTCAATTTGCCTATAAATGAATAGCTTGTCCGTTATGAACATAATATCCTGCACACATTGCAGAGAGAATCAGACAAATCTCAAGTCACAGCTCCTTATAAAGCATACAACGAAATCACAAATCATACAAACACATGAAGGAGAAGAATAAATGCAGCTGAGTAACAGGTCTTGACAGGGAGCAGACATGAAGGCAACCCACATGTTGCCTGGCAACCCCAGTAGAGATGAGGGGTTGACCTGCTGGAAAGCAGCTCCACAGAGAGGGATTTGGGAATCCTGGTTGACAACAGGTTAACCATGAAGCAGCAGTGTGCCCTCACAGCCAAGAAGGCCAATGGGATCCTGGCCTGCATCAGGAGGAGTGTTGCCAACAGGTCGAGGGAGGGGATCCTGCCCCTCTGCTCAGTTCTGGTGAGGCCGCACCTGGAGTATTGGGTGCAGTTCTGGGCTCCCCAGTAAAAGAGGGACATTGAGCTTCTACAGAGGGTCCAGTGGATAACTACAAAGATGATTAAGGGACTGGAGCATCTGCTATATGAGGAAAGACTAAGCGAGCTGGGCCTGTCTGACCAGTATGTACAAATACCCGAGGGGTGAATGTAGGGAGGATGGGGCCAAACTCTTCTCTATGGTAGCCAGCGACAAGGGGTAATGGATACAAATATAAACACAGGAAGTTCCATCTCCACGTGAGGAAGAACTTCTTTCCTGTGAGGGTGACAGAGCCCTGGAACAGGCTGTCCACAGAGGCTGTGGAGTCTCCTTCTCTGGAGATCTTCCAAACCCACCTGGACGCCACCCTGTGCCACGTGCTCTGGGTGTGCCTGCTGGAGCAGGAGGGTTGGAGTAAATGATCTCTAGAGGTCTTTTCCTACCTCTACCATTCTGTGATTCTGTGATACATACTGGGAACAGGAAAATATTTTGGACAAATAGTCCTTGTTGGGATTTTTGAATCATAGAATCATAGAATGCTTAAGGTTGAAAGAGACCTCTAGAGGTCAGCTAGTCCAACTCCCCTGCATGCGCAGGGTCACCTAGAGCACGTGGCACAGGACTGCATCCAAGCGGGTTTTGAAGATCTCCAGAGAAGGAGACTCCACAACCTCTCTGGGCAGCCTGTTCCAGTGCTCTGTCACCCTCACTGTTAAGAACTTTTTCCTTAAGTTCCTATGGAATTTTTGATGTTTCAGTTTCCGGCCATTTCCTATCAGTGGCCACCACTGAAAAGAGACCAGCACCGTCCTCTGCACTTCCTCCCTTGAGGTATTTATATACACTGATTAGATCCCCTCTCAGCCTTCTCTTCTCCAGGCTGAACAGGCCCAGCTCCCTCAGCCTCTCCTCATAGGGCAGATGTTCCAGGCCCCTGATCATCCTTGTAGCCCTGCGCTGGACTCTCTCCAGAAGCTCCACATCCCTCTTGTACTGTGGAGCCCAGAACTGGACACAATATTCCAGATGCGGCCTCACCAGGGCTGAGCAGAGGGGCAGGATCACCTCCCTCGACCTGCTGGAGACCCTCTTCTTAATGCAGCCCAGGATCCCATTGGCTTTCTTGGCCACGAGGGCACACTGCTGCCTCATGGTCATCTTGTCGTCCACCATGACGCCCAGGTCCCTCTCTGCAGAGCTGCTCTCCAGAAGGTCGGTCCCCAGCCTGTACTGGTGTCTGGGGTTATTCCTCCCTAAGTGCAAGACTCAAAGTAGAAGCCACGTAAAGGTTGCAAGGACTCCAACCGGCGTCTTCAGCAGATATTCATTCTTTACCTTATTATTATAGCCCGATTCTGTTGTGAGGTTTTTAGTTTGATTAGTTTTTAAATATAACACGTACATTTTTCAGTGCTGTGATATCTAAGCCTTGCAATACATTAAATCAGCATACAATAGTACAGCATACATACATAAATACATAAAATTCCAGGGGAGTATTACAGTTGTTGCAGATGCCAAACTTCTGCCTGGGAGTCACACATGCATAAACTATTTTGGATATGTACCTTAGATTTAGAGAGCAGTACCCAGGAATTAAATCCAGCACAGGATTTGTAGATTTTTTCTGTGTGTGGAAGGAAAAGAAAAAAAAAAAAAAGGTCCCTGGATGCATGAATGCCCTAATGCTGGCAGGTATATACACTATAATTTTCTTTTCTTTCTTTCTGTTTTTTTTTTTCCTCCCAACATACATTTGCATATTCAGCTGTTTTCTTTGCATTCGTTTTCCATCATCAATGAGTATATTTATCCAGCCTTGTTCCAAGAAAGCCATTCCATACGTTGTAGTTACAAAGGAAGATAACATCCATTTAGCAGCAACTCTCAGTCTGTCAGATCTATCACACAAAAAGAAGTCTTACGTAGCCAGTCAGAAACAACATTCGCTGAGACCCACTCTGTAACACACAGTGATCTTTTTCAACAGGCTTGGAGCTAAGGTGTAATCAGCTCCTCATTAAAAAGGAGGGGAAAAAAAAAAAAAAAAAAAAAGGAAAATCCTTCTTTTTGCCTTGTTCAGATCCATAGCAAAGCTCACACCAACTGCATGGAAAGCTTAACTGGGCTCAGTGCATGTTGTGAGGTAGCACTGTAATGTCCTAAACCCCTACACTATTCCTGCAGCTCATTCTGGCTTCTGCTTAGTCAGAAACTCAACTGTCTTGAAGCTACTCTTGCCCTGCCCCAATGAGAAATAACTCGAGATGCTTTTCAGCCCTACAAGTTCCCTTCATGGTTCTCAGCACGGCCTCATGAGCAGCCCCTGCAGCGCGTTGCGGGCAGCAGAAGCAGGGGAAGGAGCAAGTGGGCAGCTCAGGGACTCTGCCAGCTGCTGCCATGCCAAGAATGTCTCCAAATGCATCGAGCTAAGTACTTTGCCAAACTGACACCTTCCTCCTGTGTCTTTTGATCAATAGCGGAAATTAATATGGTTTTATTATCTTTGCTTAGTCGGAATAGTAAATATTGCACGTCATTTTTATTTACAATAAAGAATTAAAATCACTATGAATTAGGCAGAATGTAGATGAGAATGATACCTGTGGCACATTAAATACCGGATGAGCTGAAGGTAATACAGAGACAGAACTTTCTGCATGAAAACATAAGCATGCTGTTTTTAAAGCAAATAATTAACTTTATTTTTAGCTTCTTCCTACCTTTTTTTTTCCTGAAAAAAAAAAGCAAAACCAAAAATTCTTTGTTTCAAAAACAAAACACAGAAGCAAAGATAACTGGGTCCAAACAGATAGAAGAGAATCCCACCCAAACCAGTACACAAATCAGTGTGCCTGGTCTGCTGAAATGGATGCCACCCATTCACATTAACAGCTGGAACTTTTAAAATTTTAATTAGATATTAAGTGTTTTCCTCTACTGTTGTTATTATGACAACTAGGCCTAAGAACCAAGTGTGACACCCGCAATGTTTTACTCACCTTCTTAAGTAGGTGAAGCAAAGCTCTGCATCTCCGCTTGGCATTTTAAACTCTTCCCTCTTTTTCTTCCTTCCAGAACAAAACTACCTCACTTTCCCTGTGTTCACCACGGCTCTCAACTGTCTGATTCTGCAATTCTGTCTGTCCTGTCCTCCTCTTCTGCCCAACCCAAATATTTTATAAATAAATGTGGGCCTAAAATGTTGTTCACTCAGCCAGCTCATCCCCAGAGGCTTTCTGCAGTCCTGTGGCTCTTCTTCAGGATCCCTGTAATAGGCAAAGTAAATTCATCACCTCTTACCTGACCACGGTTGTGAAGGCTCAAATCTAGTCCACATGTAAATTCTGTATGATGCTCAACAGTTTCCAGCAAAGGGTTAGGCTTGGAAAAGTCCCAAAATCTAGAGAAACAGAGTGTGAGAGGGAGAGAGAGAAAAATCAAACAAACCACAATTAAAGTAATTGAAAGGCCATTCTTAAAACATAATGCAGAATATTGACAAATCTGCTGCTGCCAGGATATTTTAAAAAGCAAACTCATCCACTTAGGAAATACAATTAATCAAATTCCTGCAAAGCCATCTGCTGATTTGCATAAATCAAATCTCACTGGGCAAAACCATCTTTTTATCCCTGAAAGCTGTTGGCACAATTTATGGGTTTTGTCTCACTTTTTGGTATTGCTCCCTATGACATGGTTGTTTACTGAAAATTTTGAGTTCATTTATAGATATTGGTCACTCTTCCTTTCAGATTTGAGACACTGCTTCTGTAAAACAAAATATACTTTTATAATTTAATTATATGCTTTTATTACAAAGGTCTGTGGCATTACTTGTTAATTCCAATAACTTATATTTCAAAAATAAATTTTTCTTTCTAAGTTCAGTTGATATAAATGCTTGAAAATAGATTCCTGAAGTGCTCTACTTCTCCCTATTGTCCAAGCAGATGCAATGTTCAGTAGTGCAGTTAACAACAAGGTAAATTGGTAAAATGCAAGATGAAAGTATAAGGTATGAGAAATCTCAATTATGAAAAATGCATTGAGGAAAAGAACATTCGGATAGGTGTGCACTGACAAAATACCATATTGTAATGAAAACACGCAAAACCAAGATTTTATTTCTCATTTTGGTTGTACAGGACAGCTTACTGAGAAGCCCACAGGCTGCAGAGCACATGGCATGTTGTGACCGGGCAGATGTAACCACATTCTCTGCATTTCATATTTTCTCACCATGGTCAATCATGCTTTAGTTTTTCCATACCAATTACACCATACCCTCTGGAGGTCTCTTTGCCCTACTCCCATTGAGGAGAGTGAGAATAATTAACAAGAACTGTGTGTTATCAGACCACCTACACTGAAAAACACTGTATATTCAAAGAGCCAATTCAGGTAAAACAGCAAACACTGCAGACAAAAGGGTTAGTTTGGTTAATGTGTAGATGTTATTTCCTTAATAAATGAGCAGGGTGATATCAGCACAATGGCTATGCCATAGCAACAACCCTCTTAACTTCTTCCTAGTACCTGAGATCTAAGATAAACAACTAACTTGACAGCAGCAAAGAACAAGACCACCTCAGCACTTCCATCTTCACACATCTGTTCATATGATGGCAAAGAAACACATGTTTTTATTCATAAAAAATAGTGCCACCCTTCTTACCATATTAGCCCTCTGCCATCTCTTTTCAAAAGACACATCTACATAACTGAAAATTAAGATTAAGGAGACAATTCCAGATGTGTATGAATAGAAGCTTAAAAAAAAAAAAAAGACTTTGTGATCAATTTTTAAAACAGAATAAGGCAATTTGGTGCCTGTAGAATAAAGCCATGTTTGCGTGAAGTCAGAAGAAGCCTTCAGTTTAAGAGTGGTACAGCTCAATGGAAGTCCACATACAGTGTTGTGTCTGGAGCCTTTGCTTTGGTTTACAAATGCTCATTACTGAAAGAACGAAAGGTTTACGCTGGGTTAGCAGCAGCTCTGACAGCAACTTACTGCAGTGCGTAGTGAAAAAATATCATTTGCTGGTCACCTTCCAAACCTAGGAGACAACAGCATTGTGCCTTTGCGCGTTTTGAAGCCTTGCAGCACAGCGCAGCAATTCCCCTCAGCCCGCAGCACAGCTGTACAGCCAACGGGGACACGTTCACTGCACAAACGCTCGCACTTGCGCCACGTCAAGGGGATCTAAACGTGGGGCAGCACGACCTTCCACAGGGGCTAGACAACCACTTACAGTTGTAGGGTCCATGGCAGGTCTGTACCTCCTGGGCAGTCACAGACAGGCCACCAAGATGGAACAGCACCTCTCCCCCTGTTAACCGCAGTGCCACCTGCACTGACCCTGCAGACACCACACAACCTGCCGCTGAGCGTGTTTGCTTGAACACCTTCTAGAGAAAGCTGTTAAAAGCAATGTAGGTTCACCTTTTCTTCTGCTAGTCCAAACTCACTTTTACTAGCAGGTTATTATTCATTTTCCATGTACTCCAAAAGCACTGTATGTACATGTACATTGTAAATCGACTGTTTATTCTTAATGAGGCATTAAATGAACCTCTACTCTCTCTACTCAGCCCTGGTGAGGCCGCATCTGGAGTACTGTGTCCAGTTCTGGGCCCCACAGTACAAGAGGGATGTGGAGCTGCTGGAGAGAGTCCAGCGCAGGGCTACAAGGATGATCAGGGGCCTGGAACATCTGCCCTGTGAGGAGAGGCTGAGGGAGCTGGGCCTGTTCAGCCTGGAGAAGAGAAGGCTGAGAGGGGACCTGATCAGTGTCTATAAGTACCTCAAGGGAGGCAGTGAGGAAGATGGTGCTGGCCTCTTTTCAGTGGTGGCCACTGACAGAATTAGAGGAAGCGGATGGAAACTGAAGCACCGAAAGTTCCGCAGGAGCTTAAGGAAAAATTTCTTGACAGTGAGGGTGACAGAGCACTGGAACAGGTTGCCAAGACATGTTGTGGAGTCTCCATCTCTGAAGATCTTCAAAACCCACATGGACACAGTCCTGCCACGTGCTCTAGGTGATCTTGCGTGTGCAGGGGTTGGACTAGATGACCTCTAGAGGTCCCTTCCAACCTTAAGCATTCTATGATTCTATGAAGAGAACAGGTCTGGCTTCCTATGGATTCTGTACTTTGTCCCTCCCACAGCAATACCATAGCAAGCTACAATTTTGCTTTATCTCCTGTGTTCCCCTACCAAAACACTCCTTCCAACACTAAGCAGAGCTTCTCCTTCCCTTCTCCCAGCTGTGTCCTCCTTCCCATTCTACTCTTAGCTGCCACATCTCTTAACCCCAGGTTGTGCAAAAGGCAGCACGTAGGGTTTCACGTGCCAGTGTAGTAGCTGCACAACACAGCACAACACAAGTGCTATTCCTGCATGCTGATCAGCTAGCCAGCAAGCCAAGCAAGTGGTGAATTCACAGTGTCTTTAGTTAACATAATGCTTTGGGTCTCTCTAGCACGTATTTGCATTACAGCTGTACAATCTTAAGGAACTTAGACTACAACCTACCAAAGAGTTACATTTTCAACAGGTGCCAGTATTACTCAAGGAAATGGAGAGATGGAAACACAAAGAATGCAGCTCTCTGAACCCATTTCCTTCGGGGGAGAAAGCAAAGTGTTGTGACAAATACTCAAGTAGGAAAGCTTTACTACTGTTTATAGGTTTCATAGAGCAGGTTTCTTCCTACCCTGCATTTTTGAGGGGACACAAACCAGCTAATCACATGCTGATTTCCTTGCACACTGCTCCCATTTTCTAATCCCACTCAAAGCTAGCTACTTTTAAAAGAACAAGTTGCTCCTGCAAACTAAAAGTGCTTCTTTTTGAGCAGAACTTCGTGTCAAATTACTTCCTGAATATACCCCAACTCAGGGCAATGCTGTTACTTCAGGCAGTAACTGGAGACATCCAATTACTTCCACAGTAATATCCTTAGGAGATTATTTCATTACAGGATAATTTCACTAAAATCTCAATATTATGAAGTAGCTCAGGTATGGAGCAAAGCCTTTATTCAAAGCATCATCTCCCAGAAGCATCAAAGAAAAGTGGAAGAATTGCTCGAGGGCCAAATCAGAAGGAAGAAGATCCAAAAAGGTAATTTTGAAACAGGTTTTATTTTTGAGTTTCCTCCAACAGCACAGTTCTGCTGTAGGGACTCAACTTAAGTACTTTAAAGCAATTATTGTTGAAATGCTAACTTCATATTTAGTTCATCTCCTATTTTTCTGCATGGGGAAACAAAGCACATCGCTTTCACAAGTACAGGCCCTTGCTCTAACTGAAGCCCCGGCTTCCCTTGCTACATGTTTGAGTTGATGTTATGACAACAAAATCCAATTAAGACATTTTTCTATACAGTAGAGCAGCAGACTACAAGATATGTTTATTTCAATTCTTCAGCTACCATGCAGTATGGGATAACTTTTAAGAAAACTCATTACTGGACTTCAAATATCACTTCTGCTTTTAAAGATTTTTCAAATTCATAAGGCTTGCTAGTATCTTTAACAATCTCTTTCAAATAAGAGATTTAAGCATAATTCTCCCCTCCAGCATGTTTAAAACCAGTCTGAGAAACTATTGTATCACTGTTGCATTAAGGCACCATCAAAAGATCCTAAACTGGAAACAGGGGGTCCTAAAAACACAGTACCCTACCAAAACAAAGATATTCTTCATCACTGAAAACTTCAATCTGACTTGAGAAATGCAAGCGAGAAACTCCATTTAAATGGGTAAATGACTTCTCTGGTACTTTTAGCTTCAAGCCAGTACAAGGTGCAGCCCAAGATGCAGCATCACATGCGACTTTAATCTTGAGGGCACAAAGCTATGCACCCCTATGAGCTGGCTGCTGCACAGCATTAACAGCCTTCCAGACAATTACACGTAATGACAGCCTCATTGCTGCTGATAGCTGCAATTAAATTATTGTGTATGACGGCCAAAATTATTCTGCTTACTCTTCACTCCCTGATTTCTCCCCAACCTATGAATTATATAAAAGAGGATGCCAAACCTTAACTTAGGGACCTGCATGGTCTTATCAGAGCTTCTAGTTTTTAAATTCTCCCATCCCTTAATAATCCAGTTGTAGCTTGGCTTGGAGCTTCAGGTCACCTCTTTGACTCATGCCCTACTCTTCATCAAATCCTGGAAGAGGCATGATGGCTAAAAATGGTAAGTTGGATGACCTAGAGATACAGAAAGGGGTGTCACTGGCACACAAAACGCTGCAAGTGTGTGTACTCCCTCTCAAAACTTCTGTTTCTTCATGTGGCCATAAAAACACTAGCTCTGTCTTTCATAAAGAATAAATTTCATACAGAAAGATTTACACATGTGACAAGCTGAAAAATTGCAGCTAC